ATTTTGTGTGGCTGCCTTGTTTGGCTCTGTATTAAGCAACTTTCCTGCTCTTGCTAGTTCATCAGTCCTATGAGTATGAGAAGGGCACCGTTGTTCTGCCTAACTGCAGGAATAAAAGGTCAATGAGGCTTAGGAATAGTCCCTGACGTCAGAACCAACATTCAAATGCCACAGGTCCCATACTAGTAGTGCCTCAGTCATGTTTGCTTAGTCAGTGGGGGAAGAGATGGTCATGAAAGGATGCGGTAGATTTTGAAAGGTAGTTGTGATGTAGGCCTTCAGTGGGACAGTCTGCAGAGAGAGCAAAGGTGAGGTGGTAGAGCACGCACTTGGCTGTTGGGAGCATGACAGGCAGTTCTGAATAGCTCAGTGACCAGTGCTGTCCAGCAGAGCAAGGGCTAGGCTGTCACTGTGATCATTCATTTGTTATTGGTTCAGATGTCATCTTCAGGAGAACGGGGCTTTCAGCAAGTGGGAGAAGAGGCATGTTGGTTTCCACACAGTCTGTGGGTAGCTGAGTACAACTTGTGACAGGTGCTTTGTAGAGATCTGGGGTAAAGGTGACAGGGGTGAAGGCCACACCAGAGCCAGCCTCTCAAGTCCATGCTCTGCTTCTCAGTGTACTCTGCCTCTAACCTGCTTGTGCTGCTCAATGACGGGATCCTTCGGAAGGAGCTTCGGAAAAAGCTGCCTGTGGTGAGAACTCTTCAGGGAGCCGAGGGTGGGGGAGCTCAGGGACTTGGGAACAAAACAGTAATGGCCAGCACGTGTGTGGTACGTGTTGCAGTCTCTGAGCCTGAGACATGCCTGTGTCCTTATGAGCCTCAGACCAATTATTAGTTGTCCTAGTCTCATACGCATGAAGTGTTAGAGATGGAAAAGTCAGCCAGCCTGTTAGCAGTGGCGTTGGTGTTTGAACTCAGGCCTTAGGCTTGGAAAGGGGGAAGTCCCACCTGCAGAGGGGCAGCGCCTGGGGCTAGCGAAGCTCCCTGACCTCTGGGCTTCTTGCAGTCCCTGTCCCAGCAGAAGTTGCTGACATGGCTGAGCGTGCTGGAGTGTGTGGAGGTGTTCATGGAGATGGGGGCTGCCAAGGTGTGGGGTGAAGTAGGCCGTTGGCTCGTCATTGCTCTCATCCAGCTAGCCAAGTAGGTTGGGCTGCGGAGGGCAGGATGCGGGGGGGGACCCAGGCCAGCTCTGAGGGTGCTCAGCAGAGCAGCCTTGCGACCTGCTTTCTAGCCACCTTCCCCTAACTGAATTATATTCCCCAACTCAGGGCTGTCCTGCGCATGTTCCTGCTGATCTGGTTCAAGGCTGGCATTCAGACCTCACCCCCCATTGTTCCACTGAACAGGGAGACCCAGGCGCAGCCCTTGGGTAAGCTGCTGCTCTGCCCTGAAGTGGAATGGGACATGGGACTGATCTGTGGGTTTGGAGCACATTTTTCATCAGTGCAGCACCCATTATTCTATAAGAAAGACAAGATTTGGAGAAAATCAGAACTTAAACTTGGGAGGTTTTTGTTTTGTTTGTTTATTTTGATCCTGGAGATCAAACCCAGGGCCTAATGCATGCTGGGTAAGTGTTCTGCCACTGAGGTACACTCCCATCCCTGAACTTGGGACTTGTGGTGTGCCAGAGTCTTGTGGGCTGTAGGAACTAGGGACAGAGAACATCAGTACAACAAAGTAGGTATCCTGCAAATATTGTCTCTGGGCCTGGTTCTGTATCATCAACCATAGCCTCAAGAGGAAGGGGCCCCTCCATCAGCCTCATCTCTTCCCTCACCTTGAGTGGGGATGATGATGTGCCTCCCACGTGAACGTGGTGACAGCAAAGGATTGAGAGAATGTGGCTTCATGATCCTGTAGCCCCAGTAGTTGTGGTTGGGCTGGGCCTTCCCTTTCTTTCTCCATTATCTTGGAATCCTAGGTTCTTGTTTGGCTGTGATTATGGGTAATGATGGCCTTTCCTTAGGCCGGGGAAGGTTCCAGAATGCTTCCCTCTGTGGAAAGATTTCTTGTTGAACCACAGTCCCTGGGTGCAATTACCTTCACTCAGCTGCAGCCTCAGAACAGGCTCTTGTGTTCTCCCAGTAGCTCCTCAAGGGTTCACTGCATACATATTCTCTGCAGGCTCTGCTAGGAGTGTGTCCCTCATATTGTGTCCTGTCTATACCTGCTAGATGGTGACCACAACCCAGGCAGCCAGGAGCCATCATATGTGGGGAAGAGGTCAAACAGAGTGGTGCGAACCCTCCAGAACAGTAAGTGGAAGATGTAACTGGACTAGGCATCTAGGTGCTGAGGTCAGTGTGAGCCTGAGGGACTGGCTTCTGTCAGCACCCACTTCAGCTCCTGGCTTACTTGTCTGTCCTTATGTTCTAGGCCCATCCCTGCACTCACGGCACTGGGGAGCCCCCCAGCAACGGGAAATTCGGCAGAAACAGCAGCAGGAGGAGCTTAGCACACCCCCAACACCTCTGGGGTTGCAGGAGACCATTGCAGAGTCTTTGTATATTGCCCGGCCCCTGCTGCACTGTATCCTTAGCTGTGCTGGTGGTGGGTTGGGGAGGAGCTGAGCTAGACCCTGCACTGGAGACATCCTTGACACCTTGACTATCAGTGCTCAGCCTGGGCTTCTGGGGTCAACGGTCATGGACACCCTGGCTACTCTCTGGTGTGGTGGATATGACTAGGTAAGCATGGGGGAAGGATTCCCATTCCTTCCCCGGGGCTTTCTGCCTGCCATTTGCCTATCCCAGTCTATGGCTTTTTCCCTGCTAGGGACATAGATCATCCTTGTTCCTATGTCCCTTCCCCACAGTCTGAGTCTCCTGAGTGACAGAAAGAGTCTGACCCGAAGGGAACGGCTAGAGCTGAGGCGCCGCACAATCCTGCTGCTGTACTACCTGCTACGCTCCCCATTCTATGACCGCTTCTCTGAGTAAGGACCACTCTCACCTCAGCAGGACTCTCCATGCCGCATGGAGAGGGTTGGGGTCAGATGAGTACTTTCTGGTTCTGGAGCCGTCCAGGAAGCAGCCACTAGAACCACCTGCCCTGGTCAGGCCCAGTGTGAGCTTGTGTGCTTCTTGGCAAGAGAGACCACTGCGGTAGGGTAAGAGTTCTGCAAGGCCACAGTTGATGCAGACCACCTATCTCTGGCTCTTTTCACCACAGGGTATCCACTTTTTCAGAGCAGGTGCTGCACTTCAGAGGGCTGGGCAACTAAACAGAGGCCTAGCTAGGCTGTCACTGCTGGGCTCATCCCACACTCATCACCTGTGAGGGATCAGAGCCCATGCCTTAGTCTGGGAAATCTCTCAAAAAGGCCTGCCAGGGTACCTCTGATCTGTGGTGGAGTGTCTGAGCAGGAGCTGGGCTGTGAGACCTCTGGGCTCAATTTCTCACCTATAAAATGGGGATAGTGATGGCACCCATCTGATAGGTTGTTGTAGGGGTCAGGTGACTGAGTGTGTTTGACTGTGCTTGGTATATAATGAGCATGTGATGTTAGTTTTTGTTTTTGTTTTTTATACTAGTGCTGCTGGTATCAAACCTAAGGACTCAAACATGCTAAGCAAGTGTTCTACCCCTGAACCACACTTCCATCTCACACGTGTTCTTTTATTGTTCCCAACATCATCATGGCCGACTCCAAGTTCCCCTGTGGAAAGTCCCATACCGTAAACAATAAGCCAAAGGGGACCCTTCTTAACACTGTCTCCCGTTCCTAGGCCCAACTGCTCTAAGCATTGGCTTGTGAGGTTTCTATGTAGCTCAGCTGTCAGCGCCCTCCATAAACCTCCAGGGAACAGGCCTTGCTAAAGTGACCTTTAGGAAGCACTTGCTGAATGCCGATGGTAGGAAGGTAGGAAAGGGGAGGGGGAGTTTATGAAGTGGTGTGAGCTGTGAGCATTATGTGCAGCTCTAGACAGGTGCAGTGCCAGCAGTCTGGCCTCGTATCAGGGTCTGTCCTAGCCCCTTGTTTTCTGAAATGCCTGGTGGTAGGTCAAGGCCTTTAGCTCCTGATGTGCAGGGATCCATCCCACCGCCATCTCCACCCCTACCCCACCATGGTGTTTCTCTTCCCTGTTCAGAGCCAAGATCCTCTTCCTGCTCCAGCTCCTTGCAGACCATATCCCTGGCGTTGGCCTAGTGGCAAGTAAGTGTGGTGGGGCAGTGTGGCTGTAGAATGTCCCTGAGGCACAAATGGCCCCATTTTACTGTTTGCTTTGTCTCTTCATGGTTTGATTATTGGGCAGTCAAGAGTGACCCCTATATCAGTATTGGGAGGTGACAGTTCCAGGGCCTAAGTTGTCAACTCATGGAGGTAGGGAGGTGGCTGGAAGAATGTCTGTGTGTAGGATAATTAGGCCATTTCAGGTTGGCAAGCCCTCCTGCCTCTGTTACCTGAATAATAGGAGCAGTCTGATCTGGTAAGGCAAGGAGGGACCTTGGGGACTGTCTGGGTACCTGACCACAAAGGAATACATGCTGGTCATGCTACTTGGCTCCCCTGAACCCGGGGGTCCTTGTCTGTAAATTGCATCTCCAGCATAGCTGCAGAGGCAGGAGACATAGCAGGTGTTACAGATGTGAGCAGCTGTACTGGTGTTAGGGTCAGAAAAGGGCATGGGGCAGTGCCAGGGCCCTGGCTTGGCCCTAATGCCTCCTTCCCTCTCATTGCAGGGCCGCTCATGGACTACCTGCCCTCCTGGCAGAAAATATATTTCTACAGTTGGGGCTGACAGACATGCAGGAGTGGGTACAGAGTGGGTTATATGGTGTGCTCTGTTGCTCTGGGCAGTCCCCCAGACCCCTCTTCTCTAATAAAACTGACTCTGCTAGTGTCCCAGCACATGGCTCTGTGTCCACCAGACAGCACCTCCCCTGGCAGTTCTGGTTTTTCAGCCCTGGTCACCACACCTTCCTGGGATGGAGCCACAGCAGCCTGCTCCTTATCACTGGGCAGGAAGTCTCCATCAGGTGCAGGGGGCACCTTCATCTCGGCACTGCAGATTGACTTCTCCTCCTCCAGCATGGGTCACCATTTGCCTCAACTCTGCGACTAGATAATTCTTACTGGTCCGTGATGAAGACAGGTGGAACTAAGCCCTGGATGACCACAGTCCAATATGCCTTCCTGCCAGGGCTTCTATTTCCCTTTCCCTACAGGGCTAAACAGCAAGCCCAGCCACGCCCCAAGAGATGCTTTTCTCCATGGCAGAAGTCAGAGCTGCCAGGGCTGGGACGCGATAGAGTGCAAACCTGGGTCTATAAGAAAGTGGGCAGTGTGTGTCTGTGTGTCAGCCTCTCTGACACTCTCCTAGCAGACTGACTCTGGCTCAGGAGGATTATATTGCTGGAACCATGCAGGCTACTGTGGAGAAGACGGAAGAGGTCCTGGCAGGGCTGTGTGGGCCTGACCTTTACTGTCCTCAGTATTTGTCTTCCCCTCTCTTCCTTTTAGACAAGTCTCACTGACCTCAAACTCATGGCAGTCTCTCATGTGGGACTGTAGGGGTAAGCTGTCACACCTATCTTGTTCCTGCCCCTTTTGTTCCTGCACTATTCTCAGGAGTGGTGCCAGTCTCTCATGTGGGACTGTAGGGGTAAGCTGTCACACCTATCTTGTTCCTGCCCCTTTTGTTCCTGCACTATTCTCAGGAGTGGTGCCAGTCTCTCATGTGGGACTGTAGGGGTAAGCTGTCACACTTATCTTGTTCCTGCCCCTTTTGTTCCTGCACTATTCTCAGGAGTGGTGCCAGTCTCTCATGTGGGACTGTAGGGGTAAGCTGTCACACTTATCTTGTTCCTGCCCCTTTTGTTCCTGCACTATTCTCAGGAGTGGTGCCAGTCTCTCATGTGGGACTGTAGGGGTAAGCTGTCACACTTATCTTGTTCCTGCCCCTTTTGTTCCTGCACTATTCTCAGGAGTGGTGCCCCTTTACTTTGGAGAGCACTGTCTGCACCTGTCCTTCAGGCCTCACCTCCTCCAACATGCTCTTACAGCCCTAGCTCAACCTGACATGCTTGCCATGTGATTCTGAGCAGGAGCAGTAGAAAGGGCAGGCCTGTCAGTTTGTTGGCTTTGCTCAGCCTCACAAGCATCCTGAGTGCTTACACTGTAGCAGGCTTTGGTGCCATGCAACACATGTTTCCCTGCCTTGTAGTTCCTGACTCCGGAGTATGTACTGTGCTAGGGTCTTGAAGATGGAGATGGTGTTGCCACACAGTGGTAAGCGGTTTCTGCAGTGATGGCAAAGGAGAGCAAAGCTTTCCAGTGCAGTGAAACTCGAAACCTGTAGGATAGAGCTGGATAGAGACTAACCTCCAAGCCACACTCCTCGCCCAGGGCATACATTTCCTGACAGCAGCTAGGGCGGGGAAGGCTGTGTGCAGAAAGCAGCTGTGCAGGGTCTTAGTGGATGGAACACAACACTGAAGTGCCGTCCTGTGCAGGCATAAGAAGTCGATGGCGTGAGGGCTAGGGAAAGCTCTGGTGGCGCAGACCTTTGTGGTGGTGTGGGCAGAGATGAGTGTGTGTGACATCAGCCATGACATGGGAGAGGCTCGAGGCAGTGGGGCAAGGGTTGAAGGACCACAGCAGACCATGGGGACTGTGGGTAGGGGGGAATAATGTGGCGCCCAGGAGTCAAGAATGAAGGACAGGGCTTTGGAGTTGGATAGCATATGGAATTTCAGGTCCCTAGAATTGAGGAAGGAAGGTATCCTGGCAGGGATACAATACTAAAACAGTTGTGGGGGACAAGAATCCTCTCCAGAGCTGGTGGTGGGGCACACTCCTGATTCCCTACATTTGGGAGGCAGAGGTGGAAACAGGTGGATCTCTGAGTTCAAGGCCAGCCTGGTGTACAAAGTGAGTCCCAGGACCACCAAGGTTACACAGAGAAAGCCTGTCTTGAAAAAATTAAAGAAAAAAAAAAGTCTTCTCCAGGACACAAAGGGAGGCGGTACTGGTGCTGATGCTGAGCCCTGGAACTAATACCCTTTGTGAGGTGGCCCTGAGAATTGGCACCAGGTTCTGTCCTGCTGGGGGAGGGGCAGGCAGAAGCCACAGTACGGACTGTGTAGGAAATGGTTCTCGCCATGCTGGGGGCTCTGTACCCCAGGGCTGGGCTCAGTATCTTCCTTTTTTACCTCATCCTGGCAGGCGCACTCCTTCGACCTCAGCCCCAGAGGTAAGGCCAGACCCCTCAGGGCCTAGAAGACTCTGGAAGAGGCTGACCATTATCCTGGGAAGGGTTCGTTTGTTAAGTCTTCACCCTGGGCTACCCCCTCAAAGGAAAGTGGCAATGTCCTTTGGGGTCAGAGCTCAGCCCAGCAACATCTCCCATAGGTCTCAGCGATCTGTTCCTGAGGAATTTTCGGCCCCACTGGAACTCTCACAGCCGCTCTCAGGCCTGATGGATGGTAGTATTTCTCTCCCCTCTCCCGCCCTCCACAGCAGGTGCCCTTAGAGGTCTCCTAGGGCCAAGCCCTGAGTCTCCTACTCCCAGACTGCCTCTTCAGAGCTCCTGCAGCCCCATTCCAAGTCAGCAGTGCTTCCCTCCACCCTTATCCTCTTCTCTCTTTAGACTATGGGATCAGACCCAAACACCCGTGGCCACGAGGGCCCCGACCCCTTCTCTCTCAAGCCCAGCAGCGCAAGCGGGACGGGCCCAACATGGCTGACTATTACTATGATGTGAATCTGTGATGGGAACCCCGCATAAAGCTATTATGGGCAGCAAATGCTTGGTTCACTAGCCTGTGTGTAACAAGAAGGCCCAGCAGGGGTCCAAGTAAATACACCTACTGTGGTCCAGACAGGAAATGGCACTTTAATAGTAGTAGCCAGGTGACAAGACAGTGACAGGGATGGCTGGGACCAGCTGAGAGGCCTCCTTTCCCCGCAAGGCAGGGCGTGCTGTAGCCCTCTCCTTCCTAGCGCACACAAGCCTGCCAGGACCAGCATGCTGGCCAGGCTGGAGGTTAGAGCTGCCCAGAGGCCCCACAGATGTCTTGACTGTCATGTATTGCCATTTCCTTACTGGAAAGTCCTCCGGAGGTGGTTGGACTCAGCCTGAGCTCAGGGCTCTAGGTGAGGTGGGAAGGGGACGGTGGGCACTTCCAGGTGGAATGGGCTTTGTCAAGGCAGGAGCCAAGAGCTAGAAAAGCCAGGATCCCTGGCATGAAACAAGACCCAGGATGGGGCAGTGCCTCTGTTCCTAGGGGAACCCTTTGTAGTCAGAGGCCTGACCCCCACCCCCAGCTTGACCCTTCACCAGTCCCCAGAGAGCCTGTACTGTCCTCCATAGATGAATCTAACCCCATATATTACAATAAACTGCATCTGCTTCTCCCCATACCCCTGCCCCCCCGAAACAGCCCTCACTCCCCCATTCTCTTGTGGCAGTGCCACATCCTGTCCGTTGCCAGCTGTCCTAGTACTGGCCTGGGGCAGAGGGCTGCAGAGGGTGGTGGCACTGCTACTCCAGGTAGATATCTTCTGTAGGACAGGTGTACTCCACAAACTGCTTGTAGAACTGCTGAAATGCACGCCTGGAAAATGGGGGGCACTGGGGTTAGGGTTAGGGTCACTGGGGGCGACCAGGAGCCTCAACTCAGTTTCTTCAAACTTTGGGACTCCCGGACAGCTTGGCTCTGTTCTCTGGGCAGTTATTTCCCAAAGAAGAAAGGAGCAGTTGAGAAAGGGCCAGTAGCTAATTAACCAGGAAGTGGCCCCAACCCTGGGCTCCTTAGTACCTCCCAGCCTCTTCCAGGAGTGGGGTTTCTAGGACAAGGGTGACACACTGAGCATGAAGAAGCTCTAAGGCCTGTGACAGGGCATATTCCCTGGGCAGACCCTTATCAACCGCCCCCCCCACACACACACACACTTACCCCACAGACTCTGCCAGGGCTTTGGTGGAGTCTTCAGACACAAAGACATGGCAGGCAAACCGGTGGTCAGCAGGGTGCTTGGTGATGAAACCAAAGTACCTATGAGAAGGCAGGCATCTGTGAGACAAGATTCTTACCCATGACTACCACTGGGACTCTTATGTCTGCTTCTCCTACTTACTTGTTGTTCTTTGGATGATATCCACAGAAAGAGATGTTTTTTAGCTGGAAAAAGTGGCTACATTTATTTCCCTACAGGAAGGACAAGATAGTCAGCTTGGCGGCAGAAACAGGCAGGAGGAGCAAATGGGGATAGGGCAGGCACACAGGGAGAGGAGGCACACATTGCAGGCAAGAAATAAAGGAGCAGGAGACGCACACAGGGCAGGAAGGCTGGGGCTTAAAGGAAGTCACCTTGGCCTCCTGAGCATCATCGGCTTTGACACCTATCTTGACACCTCTAACGCTGATCTCAAGGACACAGCTGGAGGGTGGGTTAAAGTGCACCGTGAGCCGGCGGGTGGTGGCAATCTGCATGAGGGACAGAGCCATGTTGGAAGCTCTGTGTTCCTCTATGAATCCCTCATGTCATAACACTGCCTCCAGATCCCTGTGTCCTTTTCCCTAGTGTGGGCTGGCTGAGGACAAACACCCCAGGAAAAAGCAAGGAGTCAGATTTGGGTACCTTTTGCATAGCGGCACAGAGGACATCGTTGCCCTTGTGATAAGGAACCTGGACGGAACCCAGGAACTTCACCCGGAACTGGTCAATCCAGTCGCTGTTTTTGGCAAGGGCTGGAAAGCAACCATACCATAAGGAGCAAGAGAGCCATCAGCAGAGGGCTCAGAGCCAAGCCAAGAAGGGAGAGTGCAGCATGTGGAGTGCCTCAGGCAGTGGAGGATGCTACCATCCCCACATGCCCCGACCTGGCATAACAGAACTGAAATTACTCTGCTCTCCTCCCTGGCTGTCTAAGACCTGGGGTACATGTACACTGGCAGCAAGTCAGGTGGGTAGATGTGGGGATGGGTAGGACCAAACTAGAGGGAAGTACTACCTGCCATGTGCTCAGGCTCCTTGGTGACCTCAATGGCATAGTAGGCAGGAAAGACACCTCGGGCTCCGGTGCGCATATTATAGGCCTCATACCAATAGTCTTCTGCCTGCAGCTCCACCAGGAGAGGATCATCCACTTCAAGCTCAAGTTCATCTTCATGTCGAGGCACAAACCTACCCCCAAGGGCATGTGAGGTACTGATCATCAGGGTTCTTTAGCCATTGACATTTGCAAAATACCCATGTGCCTATCACAATGCTGCCTCCTGAGGGACATGCCACCCTGAGACATGCATCTGCCACACAAGATTTCAGGGGCCAGGGAGGAAGGAAGCCTAGGCCTTGATGACTAAAAGGCCACAGAAAGTGAGCACTTCACCTAGAGGAGGCAAGATGGGGTGTGGGTTCTATGCAGGGCAGGTTAAGTGCACAGCCCTAGCTTCCTCATGACACCTGAGCATTTTGTCACTAAGCTGAGTTCCTACAGGGGATACCGTCCCCCAGCAGCTGAGGGGATGCCAGTGGTGGGCCAGTACAGCAAGGAAGGGGCAGCCCTCACCTGAATATAGCCCGATGGGTCTGCTCATGCTCCTCCCCATTGATGACACAGGAGAATAGCCCGAAGGACTCAGCACCTGTAGGAAGTCAATAGGCTGGAGGAGGTGACCTCAGCTCGGGACAACTAGGAAGCTCTGTCCTGCTCTCGGACAGACTACGTGATATCTGAGGCCCCATTCCATCTCAGCTCTCCCTGGCCAGGCTCCCCCCCACCATTCCCTGCTCACTGACTCACTGGAGGAGCGAGAGCGGCCACTCATGAAGACGTTCAGGAACTTCTTAGAGAAGTGGACATCAGGCTCATCTGGGGTGGAGTCCTCTGAGAGGCAGGTGGGAGGCCGGGGCTGAGGGGCCTCCTCATACTCCTCACCAATGGCTGACTCATAGGGTGAGGAGGCAGAGGCACAGTTGTCATAAACAGTGGCAGAGTCGCTTTCGTCACTGTAGTCTCCGAAGCATGGCCGCAGGCTCACCAGCTCAAGCTGGGCATGCTCATCCACCACCAACGTGTACTTGACCGAGTCGTAGGACAGAGCGCTGGTGTCCGAGCTCAGTGATGCCCGTGGAGGCGGCGGTGGCTCCCCGAGGCTTCCCCGCCACCCTCCACCTGGTGGCTCAGCTCGCTCTGGGGATGACAGACAGTCGAAGCCCTCATCCTCTTCACTGATGGAGGGATGTGGCCGCCCTGCAGTTGTGGAGTACACAGCGGGGTCTGGATCAGAGCTAACTGACATCCGGCTCTCAGTGGGTGGCAAGAAGGTGGAGGTGGGCCCTGCAGGATCTGGCGGCCTCTGCACCGGGGTCAGGTAGATCTCCTCAGTTGCCTCCAGCCGCACATCTGCCTGGTAGTGGATTCGGTCTCGATGGGAGTGGCCCCGGCCACCAGGTGCAGTGGCAGGTTGACCACTTGGAGGTGCCATCTGAGTAGCAGCGCTGCGGCGACAAGGGCTATCAGTAGAGGTGCCTCGGTCCTTGGTGGGGACAGGACTGCTCTGGGGTGGTAGTTCATCACTCAGGCAGATGTGTTCATGTGGAGGTGTCTGCTCCCCTAGAAGACAGGCAAGTTGGTACTGAGAGCTGGACCCAACTTCATATACCTGTCCCCTCCTCTTCCCCATTGTGCTCTATCAGCAGGCTCTGTAGCCAGTTACTGGTTCCCTGATGACCTCAGCCCAGGTGGTGGGCCAGGTGAAGACTACTGGGTCTCCAGCTCAGGGAGAGAAAGGTCTCACTTACCTGTCTTCAGAGGGGAGGATGATCGAGACACGCGGTCCTGCCAACTGTGCTTTTTGCCTAAAGAATTATTATTCAGCGTGTCCTGTGCAGAGAACAAAAGGCTCTTATGAAGAAGTGGTCAGCAGTGCCCGGCACAGGGAGGCCCTGGGCCTGCCCGCATCAGGCCATCCCTGTGCTGTTCCCACCCCATCTGGCCTTGCCAAAGGCCTCTCTGCCAACCTTCCTCTAGCCGGCAGGCAGGGTGGGAAATTACCACCCTCCCCAGAGGCCTGCTGGCTTGGAGACAGCTGTCATGAGATGCAATGGTGGTGCTGGCCAGTGTGGGTGCTGATTAGTGGATGTGGAGGGAGAAGCACAGCCCCCAGGAGAGTCAGACAGCAGCACAGACACTGAGGGAGGACATGTTCTGATGCTCAAACCCAGACATGGTAAAGGACAGGGTGACTGACTCAGAAATCTGGGGTGGTAGGGGCATTCTGGCACAAGGAAGGGTATCCCGATAAGCTGGCCTGTGGGCCCGGATGAATCATTCAAACTATGACTCCATAACACTCACCCCCACTTCACCCCACGTGACTAAGGAATGACAGATGTACTGTCAGCAGCCCTCCTTCCTGGATCTCCCAGAATGCTCATGCATCCCACATTCTGAGCCCCCTGGGACCCCTGCACAGTGCCCATGCACAGGGCTCTCCACACACAACTTAGGCTCCCTTTCCAGCGAACACCATAAGCAACACACACATTTATGAGTTGAGCGGCCAGAAACCATGCCAGAGGATACTGGGAAAGGGACCAAGCTCTTCTCTGCAGCTCCTCAACTATACACCAGCAACTCCACCTCCCCAGCTCCTCCTCTCCCAGTACCTCTCGTGCCTAGGCCTACAAGACAATGGGTCAAGGCAGTCCTCTTTGGCATCCAGCCACCTGCCAGGGGCCCTAGGTCCCCAGCTCAGTCAAACAACTCCATCCCCCATCTCTATGGCTTTCTGGAATGTCCAGCTGCTGAGATGTCCAGCTGGCTGCAGACCCTGAATTCCCATTCCCGTCTTCATCCCATTTCAGATGCTCTTTTCTCCAGGCCCTGCTGCTGCCTCAACCTTCACAGAAGCCCCCTAACCCAAAGAGGACCTTGTCACAAATGTAGGAACCCAACTCCTTTGTTAGTCCCCTGCGACTCTTCCCCACTTGAATCCTTGGCAACCCTTTCGACTCTTCCCAGGCTCCATAAGCAGCCAACTGGACTCATCCCTTGCCAGAACAGACTCTGCTGCCCGCCGTCAAACCCTTCCTCTGGTCCTACCAGCAGAAAACCTAGAACCTTTCCAGGCACCCGTGCCAAGGTTCTAGACCCCACCAGCAGGGCCCACGCCCCTCCATCTTCCCTGTCCACCCAGGGCGCCGCCCCCTCAGCTCTGCCTCACCTGAGACCGCGGCACCTGCGGGAAGAGGTTGAGCGTGGTAGGCCGCTTGGGCCGGTAGGTGTCTCCGCTGCCCGTGCCCGGGCCCTGGCCTTGGCTGCGAGGCACCGGTTCTTGGCCCGATTCGGCTTTGGGAGGCCCCACTCCCTGCCGTTGGGCAGCGAGCTCGTCGTCCTCCTCCTCGTCGTCGTCTTCGGCTCCGGGAGTGTCTCCTGCCGCGTCGATCAGGTCCATCTGCAGCATCTCCGCCTGCAGCCGGCTCCCCGCGTTGCCGCTGCCACCCGCAGACAGCAGCCCGGTGCGCGGGGGCTGCGCGGCGCGGACGGAGGGGCGTCAGGGGAGGGACTTGTGAGCGGGGGAGGGGTCTCGCGGGAGGGGCGGGTCTCGGGGGGGGGTGCCCCGGC